TGCTTGTCTGGCCAGTTACAGTCAACAATGAGACGAAGGTAATTGAAAAATCGTATCCTACTAGTAGTGGTTTCATGATGTCTACCACTTCTATAAATGCCCGGGTGAAATCACGTCTTATTACTAAGGTTAAGACGGCGTAGATCAATCTTTTAATCTTTTTTGCTGAAATGACCGAAACGTTCGTCCTGTAGATTACTACTTTTTCTAAAATTTTCTTCATATTATCGAAATTGCAATTTGAGTATTTATATTGTAGCCCTCAACATTGTCAGCCTCTGCTCACCCACCGTTCTAAAAAGGTGTATGGGTAGAAGCTGACACTATCCACCGAAATGTTTTCCTGGTGTCTCTCAAGAGCTGAGTAGAAATTGAACGTATTCCTTAGTCAAGTATTTACACTGGCTTACAAAATGTTACCATTTCTGATTTTCTCGGCAGATTTTAGGTTTTTGGTCTTTTACAAAATGCTGAACATTTTAATCACGGTCTTTTTTTTTTTTTTTTTTTTTTGAGGTAGACTTTAGTTATCTGTTGTATGAGTGCTGTCTTTTGCCTAAATCCAGTAGAGGAATATCAGTTATTTTTCCGAGATGATACGTGTCTAGATCCGTTTGTGTTGCTATTACCTTGTTTTATGGATGGCAGTAATGTTTGCATGAATTTATATCGCACGATTTTATCTTCGACTCTGGTTCGGCCTGCAAAAGTCAGTTTGGGCCTTTTCAGGGTCAAGAGATAAACATAGAAAAGTTGTCTTAATTTTACAATCATCTGTTCTGGTCCAGAATGATGATGATATTTCATCATTCTAGAAACAACCTTGCCATCAGTGATGATAGAAAAGAAGGATATTTCATCATCTTAACACTCATCATTATAAAAACGACCCGTCGAGCACAAGAGAGCCAGTAGAGTAGAGTAGTGTAGACTAGGGTACCCATAGCAGTAGATAAGTAGTAAGTAGCCGTACAGAAACACACGTCTGCCATCACTCCAAAAAGATCGAAAACAGACGATTTCAAACGCAACCTCACAAACGAAATTCTCGGAACCAAACCAAGTAAGCACTGACTTTTAAATAAAAGAGACACTGTGAACATTTTTACACACACCATACCAATATTCTGTAATTCAGATCACAAAAAGAAAAGAAAATTCTTGCTATTTATGTCAACACGTGTCTCAACTTTTTATTGTTGTTATCATTGTATGTTTTATGCGTTTTAATTTCTGTCATTTAATATCAACCTCATTAAAGTCAACAAATAATAAAAACAGGGAAAATAATACATCAAGCCAACATTACCTACTCCCGTAACAGATCTATAAAGTAGGTATCTGAAAAAATGTTCTAAAACCTCTTTCCAGTCGATTTAAATTAGTTTTGAAATAGAGTAAAAGTATTTTGCTTATTGGAAATACTAAATTTAATCGATTAGCGTGAAATTAAAACTAAAATAAAAGTTTTAAGAAAGATTTTTCATTTTTAAAAATTCATTTTAAACGTTAGGTATCGCGTTTTTGTGGGTGTCCTTACTATAAAGTGCGCAAGGACGATGGCGGTCTCATAAAAACGATGAAGTTACATATTCAAATAAATGTATAAGAATAATTTCGAAACAAAACAATATTTGTTTTTGTTTACTATTTTGTATCAAGTATTTATAGCAATCAATTGTAGTTATCATTTAAACAATGCAATATAATTATTGCGAAACTTTTGTAAAAGAGTTCACTTAAAAAGAGGAATGATAAATAATCATTTCAAATTTAAACAATAAAGATGAAGGCAGAGAAATATTTCACGTGATGACGACATTTGGAGAGAATATGGCGTAATTTGTGTAGTAACTGCGTCTGTTCTTTTTTGATTTTTCTGCTTTTCCGATTATCATTGACTGGTGAAATCAGATTTTTGTTATAAGGTCGGAGAAGCTGTCATTATTTGAAATGCTTTTTTAATTAATTTTATTTTTCAGCTGGAAGCTATGCGTCAATCCAGTTGTGCAAAGATAATATGTTGTTTATTTTGATTTCATTTATACAAACTACGCTTCCGTTTTTCGTCCAGTTCACTGCAAGAACAGCGAGTAAAACGATAAATTAAATAATCAGAAATAAATTATAATTAAATAATAAGAATTCAAAAAATGGTATGTGTGAAATTGTTCGACTGGGAAGTGCGCAAGTGAGCATTATAGATTCAATGGTACACCGAGAGACCAGAATCTGTCATGTAAAATGAAAAGTATAAAGATTCTTGAGAAATTTTGAGTTTCAAAACGGAACACACAATCCAGGCCAGAAGACGGGATCTGATAGTCGTAAAGAAGAGAAAAAATGCCTGCTTGTGGATTTCGCTGTTCCGGCAAAATACATCTCAAAGAAATTGAAAATATTGATAATTATTACAAAAAGATATGTACAGTGGTAGCAATTGTCATCGAGGCTCTGAGAACAATCTGTTCCGAAGAGCCTAGTAAAAACTTGAAATTAGAGGAAAAATTAGACCCCTCAGACGATAGCGCTATTGAAAAATTAATACTGCGGAGAGTGCTGGAATAGTGAAAAGACTATTATTTAATTTCTAGTATAAGCCAACAGCTACTATTGGCGTGAATACTCAGTGCTTGAATAATAATAATAATAATAATAATAATAATAATAATTATTATTATTATTATTATTATTATTATTATTATTATTTCCTTTGATTTCTGGCGCTTACACATTTCTTTCTGGGTCCCGCCCAGGGACCTAAGGTTAGAAATGGCACCATGACACTTTCCATTAACAAAAAAAAAAAAAAAAAAAATTACATAGATAAAGCCCTTAGTAAAGTGTGGGCTGTACTTGTCAGAATAATTTTTTGTATCTCTTTGAGGCATGGACTTTCAGGAATCCCTTCAATTAGTCTACTGCAATCTTTTCCAACCAATCCTAGGGATCCAACTACAACAGGGATTGTTGATGTTCCCATATGCCACATTTTCGAGATTTCTATTTCAAGGTCCTTGTATTTTGACAGCTTTTTGAATATCTTCAAAGATACATTGCAGTCAGCAGGGACTGCCATATCAATAAGGAGGCACCGTTTTTGTTTGTGGTCTTTAATAACAATATCTGGGCGGTTGGCTTTGATTGTTCTGCCAGTGAGTATTGTGTAGTCCCATAGAATTGTAACAGGTCCTATTTCCGTAACCGGGCCTGTGTGATGTTCATACCAGTTTCTTTCAGTTTCCTTCCCGTAGAAGTTGCATATTTTCCAATGCAGATATTGGCCCACTCTGTCATGCCGGGTCAGTGGGTGCCAATATCGTGCAACCTGATACAAGATGATCAATTCTTTCTGGATATTTATCACAGAATGTGCATTTTGGGCTAACACAATATTTTAGTATATGTGCTTGATAATTTCTAGTTAAGAAACATTGGTCCTGTGCAGCCAGAATAAAACCTTCAGTTTCAGCTTTCAACCCTGCACTCCGTAGCCACTGATGGGTACGGGTTTTGTCTACGTCAGCTTGTTTGGTACGGGCAGAGTATTGGCCATGAAGAAGTTTATCTTGCCTTTGTTTCTGTATTTGGTCGGTTGCATTTGTCTTTGCTTTCGTTTTTAAATATTTTGCAGCTTCAACCGGTTATTATTATTATTATTATTATTATTATTATTATTATTTTATTTCCTTTGATTTCTGGTGTGTACTCATTTCTTTCCGGGTTCTGCCCAGAGACCTAAGGTCAGAAATGGCATCAGGACATTTTCCACTGAGCAATTTAAAAAAAATATTTTACATAGATAATGCCCTTCGTAAGGTGTGCGCTGTAACCGTGAGTACAATTTTTTGTATTTCTTTAAGGCAGATGCTACCAGGAATCCCTTAAGTAATCTACTGAAATATTTTCCAATCAATCCGAGAGCTTCAACTACAACAGGAGTTGTTGATGTTCTCATGTGCCACATTTTTGAGATTTCGATTTCAATAACACTCGCCCCCAGCCCCTCAACCTCCGAAGTCTTACTCTCTGGGTTGAGGTGTCTGCTCGGTCTTAACCGAATTTAAGGGAGTGACCGTAGGTCCCCTGAGCATCGGTAGATCATTCGACCGGTCCACTGGTTTAATCCTGCTTCCTGCCCACGTTGTGTTTGGTTTGATCCAGAAAGCAGATGTGATATTCATCCATTCACGGTCGACTGAAGATGTAGACACGGCTGGAGAGTCTGTGCTAAGAAATTTAGAATGCACCAAAAATATATATATATCTGCAGAAAGCCGGCCAAACAACTATTCAATGGTTGAATTGTTAATGTCTTTTATATAGCAGAAAAGAATAGTATAGAAAAGAAACGGATTACAGAAAAGAAAATTATTTGCCGTAAAAAGAAAAAGAAAAAAAACTCATGCACTGGATTCTAGACAGAGAGAGAAAGTGGATTTTGATTAACTTGTTGTTAATCGTCTCAGAACGATATGCGACTCTTACGATGGAGATAAAGATTTCTGTGCGTGGCTTAAAGTTTATAGTTGCATTCCTCCTCGGCAGTAGTAACAGTAGTAGTAATTTTCGTGGTAGCAGAAGCATCGGTACTTATATTAACAGTACATGTTAGCGGGGATTTTGTTCCAATCTCTGACGTCACTTTCAATCTCCGACATCTCTCCACCTAGCTCGACTGCTTTTGACGGCAGACGAGCCGACCACTTTGATTATTGTAGCTTGTGCGACGTTTCCGTTTCCAGTGGTAGTAATAATAGTAGCAGTAGCAGTCTGTTGGAGGACTAATTCGCTTCTTCGTATTTATATCAACAACATATGTTATCGGGCGTTTGGTTCCAATCTCTGACGTCACTTTCAGTCACCGACCTCTCTCCATCCAGCTCGACTGCTTTCGACGGCAGACGAGCCAACCACTCTTTCAACAGATTTCTGTAGCACCGCGACCCGTAACGGTCGCCTGCGTGTGCCCATGCACGTGACGGCACGCAGCGACGACGATGTACCGACCGATCGCGGCCTCTCCCGTCTGTCTCTTCTCAGCATAACTACGCGTTTATATAGATAAATCTGGTTGGTCATAAATCGACCCTTGGCCCGCACGCGAATATCACGAGTGCCGTTTTCAACCCAAAATCATGTGAATTTCAAAGTTCTCATAACCTTAGTAAGCTCTATTCCAAATTTTAACCGATAAAATTTATTTCGATCATTTCCATTGCCTTTTTCACCACCCAATTCCAAATGGGCTAGATCAGATTTCCATCAGTAAACAAAATTGTTCTGATCTAATTTCGCTGTTCAAATCTACTTCAATTTCAATTAAAAAAAAAATACGTGTGTGTGTGCTTCCCAAACTCTCTCCGTTACATTTCAAGGTACTTGTATTTTGATAGCTTTTTGAAAATTTTCAAAGATCCATTGCAGTCTGCAAGGACACCCATATCAATAAGAAGGCTCTTATTATTATTATTATTATTTTTGTTGTACAGTACCAATGCTTCCTAATCAGAAATTATCAACAACACATACTGAAAAATTGTGTTATATCCAGAAACAATTGACCATTTTGTATCAGGTTTCACGGTATTAGCATCCCCCAAATATAAAATTCGGCATGACAGAGTTGGCCAATATCGTCACTGGAAAATATGTTACTTTTATGGGAAGGAAACTGCAAGAAATTGGTATGAAGAACACCGAGACCAAGTTACAGAGATAGGACCTGTAACAACTTTATGGGACTTTACAAATAGAATAATCAATGCTAAACGCCCTGGCATGGGAATCAAATACCAAAAAAAAAAAAAAAAAAAAAAAAAAATGTGCTTCCTTATTGACATGGCAAATCCTGCAGACTGTAATGTATCTTTGAAGATCTTCAAAAAAACCATCAAAATACAAAGATCTTGAAGTGGAAATCTCAAAAATGTGGTACATGAGGATATTCAGTAATTCCATTTGTGGTTGGAGCATCCGGATTGATTCAAAAAGTTTCAAATAGACTAATTGAAGGTATTCCTGGTAACCAATGCCTTAAAGAATTACAAATAATTGTTCTCACAAGTACAGCTCACACCTTACGAAGGGCTTTATCTATGTAAAATGAGTTTGATCTTAGGTTGTTTGTTGTTGTTTTATTAAAAATAATGTTCAGTGGAAAATGTCATGATGCCATTTCTAACCTTATGTCTCTGGTTGGAATCCGGAAGGAAATGAGTATACGACAGAAATCAAAGGAAATAATAATAATAATATCTTAAAATATAGTAAAGGCGTTGCTCGCCAGTCAGGGCTTTTTACTTCATCTCAGTATTAATTTCAGATTTGTCTGAATATTAACGGTAGCCTGTGCAGAATGTCAGTACAAATCTCTACATGTGATAACATTGAGGTATTTTGAAACATGTGCGTAATGCAGAGAAGCTGTTGTGTCAACACGGTTTGGGTTTATGTTTAAAAGAAAAACGATATTAGAATCGGTGTGGAAAGAGGATGTCAGTGGATTTGATGAGATTCCATCTAAGAACCAATGTTTATCCGTTGTATTTAGTTACATTGACTATTAGAAATATTTCAGATGCAAAGAATGAATGTAACTATCAAAAAGTATACTTGTAAGTAATTAATATTTCATTTACGAACATTTTTTCTTAATATTTCGATGATTTTTCACATACGTCATCAGCAACAGGAAACTGCATTAGTTTTAGAAAATAAAATCAAGAAAAACAGAATATTTAGGATGATTTGACCTTTTCTAATTTACCAAAATTATTTTGATTTCAAATTTCCAAGTTGAAATTATTTTATTCCTACCACATATTTCTTTATTTATACATTTGTTTATATATTTAATAAACATCAAGAGAATCATTTCCGAAAATGAGGCAGTGTAAGAAAAGAATGAAATCAAATGACATCTTTTAATCTCATTAATGATTAAAACTGTAGACGCATAGCCAGTGAGTTTTTGAAGAGACCTTAACTGAAATAAATGGAATGATTTGACGACTTGTTAGCATGAAATTAATATAAGATAAGTCACCCTATCGACCCGTGTGTGTGTGTGTTTGTATTTAACACGCGCACACGCACATACACACACGCACACATAGACACATGCACACATACACACACACACACACACACACACACACACACACATATATATATATATATATATATATATATATATATATATATATATATATATATATATAGCGAGAGAGAGAGAGAGAGAATAAATAAATAGTTCAAAACTTATGTCTACTTTCAGAGTATCGCAGAGGTTAATCAGCATATCAGAGTTGATATAAATTTATTCACTTTATTCACACACACACACGTACGCACATACACACGTACACACGAATTCTTTGGTTTTTGTTGTTCATTGAAGACATTTGGGTTTAAGATCAAAAGATGAATATGAGACAAGAGTCTAGAATTTCAGCTTTTCTTTCCTGGTATTTACATTTAAATGTATTAAACAGCTTAGGACATACCACCATTTTAGGTGGGCAATACTAAAGTAACAGATAGTCTTAAAGTAATAACATTTAATATTTGGCTGCATAACACTTGCTAACCCTGCGATCAATTGACTTTACCAAACTGTCACATTCTTCATTTGTGATGTTTTCAGTTCTTGTTTGTTTCGGGCGGATGGGGGGCGGGGGCTTCCTTCAGTCCCCTCTTCAATGAAATGCATGCTCTATTGGCTTATGGTCCGCTGATTGACTAAAACTCTCCACTTTTTTTTTCCCTGCAGTCCTTTGTTGTGTTGTTAATATGTTTTAGGTTATCCTGCTACATAAACTTCCACCCGATTAGTCTGGATGCATTTCACTGTAAATTGACAGACGAAATGTTTATGTAGACTTCTGTTCTACAATCAATAAATATGAATGGACCTTTGCTAGAAGCAGTTATGCATGCTCAAGCATATCTCCATCATGCTCCACAGATGAGCTTGTATGCTTTGGATCATAAGCAGATCCTTTCTTTCTCCACATTTTGGCCTTTCCATCACTTTGGTAGAGATTAATCTTGGCTTCATCAGTCCATAAAACATTCTTTCAAAACCTTTTTTTTTCGCTCATCTCTGTACTTCCTTACAAATTTCAATCTGGTCTTCCCATTCTTACTTCTGATGAGTGGTTTGCATCTTGTGGTATGGCCTCTATATTTCTGCTCTCAAAGTCTTCTTCGAATGGTGGATTGTGAAACCTTCACCACTGCATTCTGGAGATTGTTGCTGATGTCACTGACTGTTATTTTGGGGTTTTCCTCGCAGCCATAACAATGTTTTGTCATCAACTGCTGTTGTTTTCTTTCGCCGATCTGTTCTATGTTTGTTGCTCAGGACAGCTGTAGCTTCTTTCTTTTTCAGGACATTACAAATTGTTCTGTTCGCTATGCCCAATGTTTTCTCAATGGCTCTGACTGATTTTTCTTCTTTTCTCAGCTTCAAAATGGCTTGTTTTTCTCCCATAGACAGCTTCCTCATCTTCATATTGGTTTATCCCTTTTAGCAAGGAATAGTTTTTGAGACTAAAACCAAGAGTAGTCAGAGTTATTTAATGTTTAGACAATCTAAAACGCAACACCTGGGCAACAAGAAACACCTGTCAGTCACGTGTTCCAATAGTTTTGCCCACTTGTAAAATGGGTGGGTTCAAACAAAAAGTGGTATGTCCTAAATTGTTTAACACATGCAAATGTAAATACCAGAAAATAAAAGCTAAAATTCTGACTTTTGTCTCATTTTGATCTTTTGATCAAATATCTTCAGTAAACGATAAAAACAGAGGAGTGTTCTTGCCGTTCCAATACTTTTGGAGGTGACTGTATATATATATATATATGTGTATATATATATATATATATATATATGTGTGTGGGGGGGGAGAAACTTGGTGTGTTAGCAAGCTTCTCGCTAGATCTATTACGACTGAGTAGTGAGGTCGATCCACATATCCCAATCCTTCAGCGTTGTTCCACATCTAAGTTACACTTAGAAAATCACCATAAAGTTTGAGGCATTTTTAACGGCTTTTATTTGGGATATTTGGAAATTATAAAACAATTGACTGTCTGAAGTTATTATGTCGTTTAAAATAATATTAGTTTACTGTCTCTGAAACCTAATAAATATTATTTTTCTTTTAATGCATCACGGGTAATGGAAACGAATGCTGAAAAACAGGAAATACCAAAGTTAGTGATTGAGAGAATGTCCACTTTGGAGATTATCGATTGTTAAAGAAAGCTTTTTGAAAATAAAACTAAATTGAGAACTCAAATCCAAGTAAAAAGGTTTAAGAATTTTTGGAGAGGAAGCGATACTTATAGCGAAACAATCGTCTTTAACCAACACTCAGGCAAGAAAAAAGGTCGGAATTTTGGGAGTCAATCGGGACAAAATATGCCGAATACTTGGCAAAGTTGCATCTGTCAAGAAATCTCCAAGGCAACCTCATCTCAATAAAGCATATTTTCAAACCGTCAAAATCGAGTCACCAAAATATATGAAAATTGATTTTTCTAAAAGTAAATTTTGACTGTTTGAAGAACCTGGTGGCAGGTGATGAACCTGATGGATAGATCAAAGGAAGGATTTTATCCGATGCAGAAGCACCTAAGGCTAAAAAATGGCAGCAAAGTATGATTCTACTGGCTGGTATTGTCGATCAAACCATTGGTTCATTCAAAATTTATGAAGGAGTGAGACTGAACAATGCTAATTTTTATGATTTCATAGACATAAATTTCTTTGAATGGTATAAATCCCAAATATCGTACTTTCGAAGCGGCGTGTATAGTTTTTCATGTTTCTAGTCTTGTATCTAAGGCAGGCCTGCACAATTAAAAAAAAATAGGCAACGTTGCTCGTAGATAATTAGCTGCGAGCTGCAAAGTTAGAGTAAATTACCGAGTGAAAAAAATGGCGGAAAAGCACTAATGCATCCCAAAGAAGGCATATTTTAATCAAAAACAAACATTGTGCATCATTTTTTTTTTTTGGTGGGGGGTGGCGAGTAAACAGGCGTCGACCTCCTTACTTTTTTTCTTTTTTAATAAGGAAGATTTAGTTTTTCTTACTTTGCCGCATAGCCCTTTAGTCTTAGCCTCTGTTTATGTGATTTTTACTTTAGATATTCCAAAATTTCTTTTTTTTTTAAATCAACAATAATAGAGCAGAAATGGAAAAAGATGACGGCTTTTTCAGCGAACATCGAAATATGAAATCGAATTTTCTCATCCACCCCTTCACACATTTTCTTCAAATGATGGACAAGAGAATGGTGACCCCGCTCCCCACGTAATCTGCCCCACCCATTTCCATTATTAAAGGCAGGAGTTACGTCACATCGCTACAGCATTGCAAACTTAAATCTGATTCAACTCTAGTCTGGATGAAACCAATGATTAGGATATTCATTTCAAGATAGAAACATAGCGGAAAGGGGGGGGGGCAGAACAGTCTTTTTCTACGTAGAGTTAGCGGGATTAGTTAGATGAAAAAGAGGACTCTGTGAAGGTCTGGCCTAAGGAGACCAATGAGTTTCTTAAACGTAAAAGATTTTCAGGAGACAGGATAATGGAATAGCTGCCATCAAATCCCGATTTGAATTCGATCGAAAATCCATGGTCAGTTGCGAAGGTCAAATTATATGAAGATGGCAAATAATATGCCGAAAAGGCTGACCACTGAAAAGCAATTGAAATCAATATATTGGAAATTAAGCCTACCGAAGTCAACAACTTAACAAAATCTATGGATCATAGATTGTTAATTGTATTTGGAAAAAATAGTCGCTACATTAATATATAAATGTTCCAAAGATTTATTATATGTTTATTATTTGTTCCTTTGAAAGAATTGATTAATTTATTACCTTGGAATTGAAGTAAAAAGTGAATCTCCGAATTTGCATAATAAGATCAGACAGCAGTTTTTAGAATAAATCAAATAACTTCAATAATAATAATGTTAAAACGACCTAAAAATTAAACTCTTGCATAGTTTTATTGTCTATATTAAAATATGACAGATTCATTTCAAACCAATTTCATCTTATAGAAGTTTATGAGATTTACATAATAACTTCAGGAAGGATATATATCATGATGAAAAAATTCTCCCAAACTTAATAAAAACATAATTTTATCGTCAAAATCTTTACGTTATTATTAAGAAAGACCAAAGGAATTTTTGATTATGAAATTATATTTTTGACCATTTTTAGAACGTTCGTAATTTTGGTTAAAAATTTTGGTATTCTTGTGTTAGCGGGGAAAACAAAGATTTGTATAGGAAATTTTTTGCGTTTTTTTTGTTTTTTTTTTTTTTTTTTTTTTTTTTGTATTGAAAGACAAATCGTTTTGGGAATTCTTGCAAAAATTAAATAATTGTCGGATTTTAATAAAACTTCCTGATTTTATTTACAAATGAATGAAATTATCAAAAATTTTTTTTTGAAAATCTTAGTATATATATTACCAAGATTTTCTAAGAAAAACTTTTCTAAAATAATTTAATTCAAGTTATTCTCTTGTATTCATTCCTTTACTTCTTTTTTTTTTATTATTTCATCTGGGCGTCTCTTCATTCTTTTATTTCTTACGGACGTTTTCAGTTTTCTTCCTTTTTTTTCTTTTTCTCTTTATTATAGCTTGAATCTTTCTTTCTTTTTTCTCTTCTCCCGTTTTTTATCTTCTTATTTCGTTTGAATTCTTCCTTATCTTTTACTTTTTTTCCTTTCTCGTAATTCTGTGCTGTTCCTTTCTTTCTTTCCTTTTTCCGTTCTCTCTTTGTTCATTTTCCTTTTTATTTCTTCTGAACTTTTCATTTCTTTCTTTCTTTCTTTCTTTCTTTCTTTAGCTTTTTATTTCTGCTAGACGTTTCCTTTGTTTCTGTCCATCTTTCTCCTCTATTTTCTTTCTTTTTATTTTCTTTCCAGCCTTTTCTGCTCTCTTTCTTTATTTTTCGATTTTCCCCGACATTTCTTTCCTTTTTTTTCATTTCCTTTTTTTTTTTTTTTTCAGAACGTCTGTTTTCTTCTTTTTTTGGTCTGTTCTTTCATCTTTTATTCTTTCTTCTTTTCTTTTCTTTTTGTTCCTTTGGTTTTCTTATAATGTCTGATGAAAGAACGCCCAACGAAGTATCTCCGTATGTTTGGAAATCTTACTCTCGTCACACCCTGGATACTTCCAACCGAAGACCATATGACATTAGTTAGTCTCAAGGAACGTTAGCCTTCCATTTTAACATCAACGTCATCACGAAGGGATTTTCTTTCAATGACCTTATTACTTCTAAAGCACGCGCAAAATATTCATAGTTTTCCATTTAACTCTATCAAGTGGTTTCAGTTGGACGTAGTACGTAAACAATACGTATTAAATGATATTTAATTTATCCTGTGGTTATGCTACATATACAAACTGAAGCACAGATCTATCTATCTATCTATCTATCTATCTATCTATCTATCTATCTATCTATCTATCTATCTATCTATCTCTATCTATATATTGAGATATATGTCTGTTAGATAGATATAAATAACGACCACCATCTCAATGTTGACTATCACAATGATCTCTTGCATTGGTCATAATTGATATCGAGGTGGAGAGCATTATACATTTATATATCAAAGTAAATATCAATGAAAATTACTTCGTGGAGAAAATAGCCCAAATCACCTTTCCAGAACAAAATAAACTATCATTTAAACTATCATAATCATTTCCAAATAAAGACGCACGAACACAAATTCCTATTACAACCACATCAAGACAAAATCAATAAAATCCGACCGAAGTCGTGATCATAGAGTCATTGTAAAATCCACAATCCTTTCATTAGCTTTATATTACGTGCTTTGCCAGGATTACAAACAGTATTGAATTCAAAGTTGTTCTACTCCTGGCCAACCGAGGCCAGATCTGATACGATTGGAACGCACAGCTGACAAGGAATTTTGCAAGGAGTGAAAAACAAGTTTGAATTTAACAGGCCTGGGAAATACGCTTTTCTTGTTGAAGGAACTTTTAACAACCCTCCACGATTGTTTGCGGCGTGTCATACTTATAACATTAAGGCAGTCAATGCATGCAGCAAAATGACGACTTCCCAGTTCAGAAAAAAATGTTCTTATTCACTTTCAATACATCATTCAAATGAAGTAATTGATTCACTTTTACATTTGCTTCAAATTATGAGTTGTTGAAGCATCTTCCTTCAAAATCCGCCCCCAATCCAATCAATTTTTAAATTCTTTCAGAATCTTATTTATCATGCAACTCAAACCTCTCTTTAAACTTTATAAACCATGCTTGTACCATCGAACCATTTTTTTTGCTACACCTTTATCTGATTCAGCATGAAAATGAACCAGTGCATCATGATTTCATGAAAATAAAATTATCATTTTCTTCTGTAAATAATTCTTATAAGATCTTATAAGATATGCACGTTCAAACCATTATGAAATGAGAGAATTTTGAACAATCATTTCTAAGATTTTATTAACATAGTGAACAAATAACATTTGGGAACTTTTGCACTATCTTGTATCGAAAAAATATTTTGACATTTTTAATGGATAATTTTCCACGATGAAATACAAAGGACTTAATTTATATCTTTATATAATCTATATCTTAATCTATATCTTTATCCTTTGAGAATTCTGACAATCATCTCTGAAGCCTTAAGATGTCAATAATCTTCAGTTAACGGAATTATCAATTCACCATAGTTCACACACTTTATTTTCATTGACCTCTAGCTTAATGTACTGAATTCTCATCATGTTCGCTGTGACTATAGTTCTTTTTAGTTCTGTAACTGACACCCAGAAAATGACCAGAAATAGATTCCACTGCTTTCTACTGAAATGAACCAAGAAAATAGATTTTCTAACCTGATATGTTAATTGCAATATTTCTATTTACATTATTCGGACTATGATCCTCATCTTTGTTGCCATATTTATCATAACGTTTCGGCCGTTGTACGCTCCGGCCTTCTTCAGGTGGTTGCAATGTCGAACTGAACCCATTATTTCGCTCACTGGGGTAGACTGTTCTTTGCCATGTCTAATGGATGTCAGTTATCAGTTATCTCCTGTTAATTTCCCTCTCCACCGCCTTAACCAAGTATATAGACAGATACTGCAATATTTCTCTCTGTATTTGTTTTTGGCCTATCGTGGTATACAGTAATTATCTGATATACACATCTATCTATCTATCTATCTATCTATCTATCTATCTATCTATCTATCTATCTCAGTCTCTTCATATCTATCTATGTACCTATATATCTAAATATAAATAGCGCACTGTGATTGCTGGTGGTAATAAAACATCTATGTCTGTTTCTATCTATCTATCTATCTATCTATCTATCTATTTGTGTCTCTATCTTATTTTCTTGCCTTTTTATTATCTTGGGTATGAAGTTATTATATTGTGTCGGGCATATTTTATATTAAATTTTATACACAGTTATTATAATGAATAGTGTGTTATTTCTTTGTTCAACTTTTGCCTTTTTTCTGTTACTATACATTATGTTATTTTTGTTTCGTTTCATCCTGATTAAAAAGGAGTAAAAGCTTTTAGTTTAATTGTCAAAGTCTATTACATCCTCTAAAGTCATCACGGCTAAAATCCAAGTATATTTGAAATGCGACAGTGTCTTAAGGGCATTAGGTTTAATATGTTGCATTTTAATTACTTGACGGGCTATCCTTGTCGACCAGACTTGGGTGTTTGGCGTTTTATTAAATGTGGTAGCCATTAAAAGCTGCAGGATTAGTTCAAATTTTACGATGCTGAGCTACTTATTGTCTGTTCCGTTAGCATTTCTGTTTTTGCCACCAACACTGCATTTAGGAAGACCAGGAAAATGTGTTAACTATTATAAAGAAAGAGAAAGTGAATCACATATATAAAGAAATCCCGCGGGTGATTTACTTGTATTTGTGTCGATCTCAAATTTCGTTTGTTGGCGACACCATGAAAAAGGGAGAGGAATATTTTTCGATTTGGCACGAATGGGAAAAATAGTGTTTTTTGCTAATGCTTGATATATATATATATATATATATATATATATATATATATATATATATATATATTTATATACAAAGATTTTGTGTCACAGAATTTAAATATGGGTTTGAAAATGACGGAGCGTATTCTTTTAAAGCCACCTTTTCGTCCAACACTTTTTCAGAAAAATTAGTTGGAACAAAAATGATCAAAACTGCGAAAATAGAAAAGGTAGACATTTAGAAATAAGGACCCACGACTAAAATAAATGTATTACTAAAACAAACAGATCCGTGTAAATAAGCCCCTAGTGTCCTAACGAATCTTTATGAAGAAATTTTGAACAAAAAAAGGTTCCATTAAATAAATGCATTCCATCATTTTCAAAGCCGTATATATATATATATATATATATATATATATATATATATATATATATATATATATATATATATACTCTTGTGAAAAATTAATTGAAACAACCGCTTTAGTTTCCTTTCTTTCCCCATTTCAGTTTTTGACCCTCTGGAGTGACAGGGTGTAATCGATTTCTATTTTTTCCTTAGATTAAGTCACTTGCATCTGTTTTCGGGGTGTAAGATAAAATTTGTTTCGCTTTGAGAAATATTACGCCATTCGTGATTGTATCAGATTTTCATCGCTCCCAGACACTATTGTCTCGACTGTCGATTAATTGTCCTACGGCCATTATTTGCAACATTACTCAAAGGAAGCGCACGAAAATTGTCACGCTGAATGAACACACTGACAAGCCTTACCAGTGAGCAAATCAAAGTACTGTCAATTGACTCGGAAACACTCCCGATTTAAATCCAATCGATAATCTATGGTCAATCTACAAGGAAAAACTTCGCGGAATGGACATGCGAAGAACTAACATGTGCACTGGGTCATGTTTCATTGGAAAAATACAAAAAAAATAACGGAATTATTCGTTTTGTTTCAATTAATTTGCACAGATATGTATGTGTGTGTGTAAAATTTTCCATGTACATAACCCTCTGCTACTATCAATTTCATATAATGGTGCAATTTCAAAAGCAGCAAAGCAAGGAACCATGCACCTTACATATATATATATATATATATATATATATATATATATATATAAAGACATTTTTATGTTTATATACAAATATTTAAGTAAATATCTGTTTTATAATAAACAGTATCAAGCAACATTTACCGGCCTGAATGTCCGAGAAATTTTCATAGAAAATTTTCGTCCTCCGCCAGGAATCGAACCTGCATCCTATATGGAACCGTCATATAGCCTGACGTGCCTTTAACCGTTTCGGCCACAGAGGAACGTTCGGTTAGCAAGGTAGATTTTACTGTCTTTAAACTTTAATCTTCCATGAATCTCTCAAGTACATTCATATCTGCTCATGGCGTATCAAATGTAAACAAATGATGTCACACATTATGAAATGGACAAAGAGGAGTGTTCTCAGACATTTTATGAAAATTTCTCGGTCATTCAAGCCAGTAAATGTTGTTTAATACTGTTTATTATAAAACAGAGCATTTACTTAAATATCTGTATCTATAAAAAGAATGTATAAACATAAAAATGTCTAAAAATAATTGTCGGACTGTGTCCATTTCATAATATATATATATATATATATATATGGTTTGCCTCTTGAGGGTCACATGAGTACATGAAACTGACAGTAACGGAGGAATAAGTGTGCAGCAAAGTTTGATTATTATCTTAAATTTAACGCTAACGATTTAAAATTAAGCCTTAAGTTGGACAGTTCAACATCTGCAAAACTGAGGCTGAGCTGAGAACTCATATTCGTGCACATTGTTATGAAGAGATGGCGTTCTGTCAAGAGTGTTCAATTATTATTATTATTATTATTATTATTATATATATATATATATATATATATATATATATATATATATATATATATTTGTTTAAAATTACTATATTTAAAGGGGAAGCGTGCTCAGTATCTGAAATAGAGCGTTTATAAATATAGACAGTGCAAAAAAGAAAATTCAAATATCAAATAAATGTGACTGTCTGAAGAACGTGCCACAACAATCTGTGCTTTAAACTTAAGTTGACCAGAAAATCTTTAATGAGACAAGCGAGTTCTTTTCTATAGAAGAAAAGTTGACATTAGTTTGGCTAGGAAACATCTTCCTTTTGTTTCGTGAGAAATTATCGTGACATTAAAATCTCCGAAGTAAGGAAAGTTTTAAATGGTCGGCTTTAGGTATATGAATTTAAAGTCAATTTCTCATGGATTTGATTTATGATTTTTCTCACAATTTCTTTTATTAATTAGTATTGCTAGTTCAAATTGAGCTTTCGTTTTTTATATATTGTAGCCAGTAGCGTGCAGAAGTTGGGGGTGGCAGAGGGTGCGAGTGCCTCAGGCATCAATATCGGAAGAGCATCCAATAAAAGAGTGAAATAAAAATTTATTTTTTAAAATTTTAAATTGTCTCTGTTAACTTCGTTGTACAAGCGCCCTACAGTCCCACAAATTCCTTCCTCACATTTCTCAGCCCTATAGCCGCCACCCTCCACCGCTACTTGCATCTTAGGGAGTTGAAGTTGAAGTTGGCCCTGGGCATCACCAACCGTGTGTACGGCACTGATTGTAGCACATTTTCGAGCAAAACCTTTAAAGATATTGCCATAAAAACTTATCGTCTAACATGAATAAAAAAACCCACTCTTTTGTTTAATTCTGTGGGTTATTCTCACTCTTATCTTTATTCTTGTTGGCTGAATCTTAAACACAGCATTTGAATATGAGAATTATTATCATTACTAGAAAGCACAAAATCTATTCACAGATTACTGTGTGCAGTATACTTTTGAAAACTGAAGAAGGAATCATCCTTAAAATGTGTATTTCAAACCATGAAAATAGGAATAAGTGATACAACTTGTGATAGCCATATGCTTTCACGAATTCTTTACGACATTGACAGTGAGAACAAGTCTATTGACTAGGCCAACAAATACGTAAAATAAGAACTTTGGTGAAGAATGCATTTCACCCTGATAAATGACCCGACCATCCTTAAACCTATAAATCAGCTAAATAGACTAAATGTTAAACCGACTTGTGTCACTCCTTGTCGCGGTTTATCTAAACAATTTTACTTATTCACATATAAAATATGTGTCATTGTTAATAAGAATGAACCTATTGCTTTAATAATGTAATGTGGTGTCTAAGGTAACTGCAGGCATCAGGTTTTGCTCATGAATCGTACATCTTTTAATGAAATGAGATTGTGTTGTATGAAAGATGCATTGGAAAGAATTATCAGGGAAAACTGCTAACCAAAAATAAAACAAAAATGATGGAATTTGGCTGAGAAGTTGTCGTCTCTTTTACCATCTAAATTTTTTACTCATTTTACGTATAGTGCAGATAACGTTTTATTTTAAATGAGAATGTTACTCAAATAGTTGCTTTTATATGAAGATGCTTACAATAGAACAATGATATTATAATCAATCTTAGAATAATTAGTTAGGCGTGCGCGCATGCACCAAAGCAAAATTTAATCTTGGCTCAATATTAAAAAAGAGAGAAAGAAAAAGTACTAAGCGATTTATTAGTTTTGATGGGACAAGTTCTTTGCACAATGGAAAGCATGATGAACAAATGACTAAAAAATGATTTTGATATTTATTTACTGCACCGAAATATCTGACCAATTTTCTGGGTTATAAGAAACACTCCTTTTTATAAAATCAAAAAGGTTAATATGATTACAATATCTTTCTCCTTATGTAAACTGACAAAACGTGCTGAAAAGTTTCCGGAATGTCTAAGAAACCCGTCAAAATGTGTGTGTTTGCGCGCGCGTGCATGCGTGTGCGTTTACATAGAGATGTATAATTAGTTTGCGTGTGTGTATAATTTATAATTGGTTTGCTGCATTTTACAAGAAATACATTAAAGAGAGCATGTATAGAGACACACGTGTGTTAGTGAATTTCTGTCAATTTCAGAGGTGTAATATTAAATAGGCTCGACATATCGCAAAAACAATAAAAAAAAGAACGACAGAATTTAAGTAATTTTGCAATTGCGTTGGGTATAGGAATTCTTTTTTTTTTTATCTATACACTGACCTGTATGTTTTTCCAAAAGAGTTTTGTTTTTGAAGCCATTAAAAGTAAAAACATCTATAAAAAAAAAACACTAAAGAAATATAGGCGTTGATAATTCAATGAGTATTCTGACATTGTCTAGTCATAAGACATTCATTAGG